ACTCTGCCTCAGTTTCCTGTGGATGGAACATCTGCCCATTATTTTTAAGGGCCAAGAAAGAAAAAAAAGTTCCCATATTCCCATCAACATTCTTGGCAACAGGGAAGGAAGTCAGAGCTTGCTCTGGCCCCTCCAGGTGCTGGCCTGGTATTGCAGTACCTCCAGACTTGGTGCTCATTTCCTCCCGGGGGAGCAATTGTCTATTTTTTAAGAGTTGCACATAAAATAAAAAAGGTTCCTGTCAGTGTTTGCCCAGCGTAGGCCAGCCGTTTTATATACATGCTTAGCATAGGCTGCATTCAATCAGTTGGTTTCCATGACTGAACACATGCTGCTTCTAATGACAGTTGAGTGATAGACATTGGGGGGAGGGTAAATTTGATATGTCAAGAGTTTTCTTTCAATCTTAGTGTGGAACCATCTGAATGCAACGTTTGATGCATCTTTTAACCTAATTTGTGAAATGTACATCCAGAAAGGGTAAATTGTTCACCAAGAATGATTATCTAAAGACTGTTTGCCAATTATAACAAGTGATCAAGTATTTCTAAAATACATTTATATTTAATATTTGTGCTACTTCAGCAGGTGAAAAATGTACAAACTTTTTGTAATTATAGGGTCCAATTAATGTTATAGTTATTTTTTAATGAAAGTGTCATAATATGTATTAACCTTATATTGCCCAGTACAAAACAATTTTGTTCCCCCCTCCACATCTTTCATTTTGCCTTGAATATCTTACAATGTTAGAATGTCATTGTCACTGCTGAACTGAAGGTGTAGTATTACTCTGAAAAGTGAATATAAAAAAGATACTTTGTCACTCAGCAAATCTACTTGCTTTGTATATTTGTGTAGTCAGAGATCCATCTTCTCACTTCTGACTAAAATAAAGAAATACAGCTTTTTTTACAGTTAATCCTGCAAATTAAATCTAATGGTACTAGAGCTTACTGGATTCAGAGTAATTAAAATAAATTCCAATTACAGGAGTATGTGTATAATATCACTAACTTCAAATTGGGTGTCAGTGTCACCTGCACAATCCACTTACAACAATAATGTTGTGACTGAGAGCAGGATTCTGTCTGAAGAACTTCTAACATTGGTAATAATGCAAAAATCTAGAATGAATTCAGTTTGTCTTACAGATTCCAGGCTTATTTTGCAGCGCTGGAAAATGGAAAAAGCAATTACAAAAAAAAATGTATATGGAATTCCTCACTGCTACTTACAGATTAGTTCTCACTTTTCAGAGTGAAATAGCACTTAAAAGTGAATAAAGTACCCCTGAAACATATCTGTATGAAGCTTGAAATTTGCAGATGCAAAGGTAGAAAATTCCTATAAAAAGTTTCTATTTTTTGTCTTAAAGAAATACAACATCAGGCTAATTGAATAGTTCCAAATAAGACTATGAAAAGAAAAATTGCTTGTGAAGATTCACCGACAGCTTATGAAGTATGAAACATGTTGATATATTTAAAAACAGACTTAAAAAAAACAGCTAGACTTAGATACTAGGTATGCAAATAGTAAAACACTCACAACTGAAACATGCTCATAAAATGTATCTAAACGAACCTAATTTCTTATAAGAATCTAGAAGCTTTACTAGCATCTTATGAAAGCAGTGGCCTAAAAATGTTCAAATGGGCACATCTACATGTGCATTAATGTACTTTAGTTAATGTGCATTAAATCTAGTACCTCCATTGTGAGGTACTAGGAAAATGTGCATTAACTAAATCACACCATTTTAAAGTAATGCGTAATGCACAATTAGCCTATTTTAATGCACTTTAAGTAAATACCATGGTGTTTTACATGATGCTTTTGCGCATATTACAGCGCATGTGTAGACTTGCCAATATGTAGGATTTTGTTCTGGCTTTTGTTTGTTTGGGTTTTGAGGTGCCTTTGTTAGTATAGTTTTTTGTTTACATCCTTCATTTTTAGAGGTACACCGATACATTGGTCCAATATAAGATTGGCACTGATATAAAGAAAATTTTCTGCATCAGAAATAGGCCTAACGCAGCTGATAATTTGTCTGATAAATGCCCGTGCATGTGCGCGGCCTCAGTGCAGCACGTAGGCAGTAAGGAGCAGAGCCAGCAGCATGAAGAGCTGTGCACAACTGGTAAGTCTGGTGTGGTGGAAGGGGAAGGGTTTAGGGGGACAGTTCAGGCCTCCACAGTGAGGGAGGATGTGGGGTTTGGGTTATGGCTGCCCAGCTGGGGCTGGGGCAGGCATGGGATGGAGGAATGGCTCGTCAGGGGATGCAGGAAGGGAATGGGGGGGGCTGCTACTGCTGCTGCACACAGCTCATCCAGTGCTTGTCTGGCAGCTCCTGCTGCTGCTCCCACCACTCGTAGTGGAGTGCACAGGGGGGGCATGTGACCCCAGATCAGCGCAGGTTGGGGCTGTTCCTGGCCGGGCAGGTCCGTGGGCACATGCATCCCCCCCATGCCCTCCTGGACAAGTGGCAGGAGCCACCAGATGAGCACCAGACAAGCCGCATGCAATGGCTGGAGCCACCTACCCCGCCTTCCTGCGCCCCCTCTCCCGATGAGCTGTGCCTCTGTCCCACACCCACCCCGGCCCCAACCCAAAGCTGCAGTGTGCACCACTTGTGGCTCTGTCCTGTGCCCCTCCCCTCCCCAGCTGGTCAGCCCCTGCCCCAGCTCCATTCCCTCCCTCACCACAGGGGTCTTGATCTGCCCCCCCGCCCTTCCCTTCCCTTCCCTTCCCTTCCCTTCCCTTCCCTTCCCTTTCATCACACCAGACTTACCAGCTGGGTGCAGCTCTTCAAGCTGAAGAGCTGTGTATCAGAAATCAGATCAGTATTGGCCAATATACCTCCTTAAAAATTGGCTATTGGTATCGGCCCCCAAAATCTCTATCGGTGTACCCCATTCATTTTTATTCCATGATATCTTAGTTACTTAACAAATCCTCCTTTGTTGTAATACTTCAGAGTGCAAAGGAGCTTCTAGTATGTCATAAATCACTTGCATCAAGGAGGTGGGGGGGAGCTGGTATGTCACAAATCCATAAACCTTTAAAATCATCCCGTATACTAAAAGAAATGCCACTTCATGGAGTCTTTCTGGTTGACTGTGTTCCCGCAACAGCCTATGGGTTTAGATTTTAGGATATCAAAACAAAAACAAGTTCAGCTAAACAATGTGTATTTATAATACTAAGCAACTATGTAGTGTGTTATATCTCTAGGTTCCAAATCATGTTTCAGATGTGAATATGTTCATTTATAGAGGGAAATCAAGTCAGAGAGCAGTTCATTGACTTGACTGAAGTCACACAGCATGTTAGTGATATCAGCTAGAATAAAACTAAGGGGTTCTCTGTTCCCTTAGCTTCTCCCTACATAATGAAATGGTTCTTCATATTTAGCAGCTTTTTTACCTAACTTGTTTTGGTTTGTGTGGTTTGTTTGTTTTTTAATAAAACATTTACAGGTCACTTTCAGCATAAGTAAGAGTCTATAGCTTTTGTTTTATTTAATTTTCCATAACTTTTTGTTGTGATACAGAAGAACACTGCTGAAATATAACTGAAATTATAACAAGTTAGGAATTTCAAATGTGAGGGGGAAACCCCCCCCAGAAATGAGTCTGTCATTTTAAATTACTGTTTTGATTGTGCATGTGTTATACATTGGAAAATATTAACCATTCATTCTCCATTTCAGAAATGTATTGGACTTTTAATATTTTTTTAAATGTTTGCCTTGGCTCTGATGCATTATAACAATAGGAGACTGGTTATCTATAAATACCTTAAACAGATGGATGGATAGACAGACTAGAAAAAGCTTATTTGCTTGAAAATTAGCTGTTTTAAATAAGAATAAGAAGTTGGTAAAGCCAGTACAATGAAAATCACTTTAAAAATTAAATATGTGTATATTAACACATTTTTATTGATGATGAGATTGGTATGACAGATTTTGGTAACCTGTTATCCCCAACTTTCCATTGACTGTTACTTCCTTGGATTGATGAGTAAATAGCTATCATCTTGCCAGTGGGTATATATATTTGTGTAGAGAAGTTGTAAAGTGAATACAATACTGAAAGACACATGGTGTATAAATGCTCAAAATACATTTTTAAAAAGATGTGTATTATAAGACAAAGAGACACTCATATATAAACTATGTCTAATTTATAAGTATCTTGGTCTGAGTTTCAAAGCACAGCAATGTTAATAAATCTATTGAAGTTAGTGAAGTTACATCAGTGTAGAACTTCTTTAAATGAAAGTAAAATAAGCTTTTTTCGGGAAAGCTTTGAAGACATTTCAGAAGTAGTAAAACATTTAAATATGGCATATTGTACTCATTAAACAAATTTTATCTTCAAGTGTGCCTTCAGAGTGGTGCAGTTACATTCATATAGTATGAATATTATGTTATACTACATAACACTGCTATATAGTTGTGAGAATAAAAATATGAACAATTAATATTATGTTGTATTTGAAGCCAAACATATTATTTAATATTCCTTTCTATATTTTGTCTAGCATTTATGATCATGATGGTGTTTAAATTTATAAAGAAAGGGACATTAGACAAATTGTCAGGGTGCTTGGTCTGCTATATTAAACTGGAAGAAAACATACATGAAAATGTTCAGTTAGATATGATCTCAGATATTCCTTCCTCACTAACTTAATATCTTCATTTGTTTAAATCTCTTGGTCTGAAATGTGCTAAGTTAAAGGTAAAGTGTTTTGTGGAATGGTTTCTATTACTTTAGAAATCCTTTGTATTGTACATGTAAAACTATTGCAAAGCATTAAATGGTTTAATGAGCTACACTTTTATTACTCATGATTTTTTTAACCACTTTCCTTAAAATGTATTTAACTAATTTGCTTCATTTTTCCTGCCTGTTATAGGTAGCAAAGTATTATAGTATATATGCACAAAGCAGAAGTATTATTTATTTTTTTTTTTTTAATTACAG